TTCCGACCTCCAGAATAGGACGAGGAACTCCTTAGTCCCGAAATACCTTATCTTAGTGCAATTGGTGCACTTATGTATCTTGCTAATGCTGCAAGGCCTGACATAGCATTTTCTGTTAATTTACTGGCAAGATATAGCTCTTCTCCTACATAGAGACATTGGAATGGGATTAAGCATATATCGCGATATTTAAAGGGAACACTTGATATGGGTTTATTTTATTCTAGCAAAGGTAGTGCAGATCTTGTTGGTTATGCATATGCAAGTTATTTATCTGGTCCACATAAAGTTCGATCTCAAACCGGGTACGTGTTTACATGTGGAAGTACTGTCATATCATTGCGCTCCACAAAATAATCTATTGTTGCTACTTCTTCAAATCATGCTGAGATAATAGCTATTCATGAAGTAAGTAGGGAATGCGTATGGTTGAGATCAGTGATTCATTTTATTCAAGGAAAATGTGATTTGGAATGTGATAAAAGATCCACAATTTTATAGGAAGACAATGATGCATGCATAGCCCAATTAAAGGGAGAAATTATAAAAGGAGATAGAACAAAGCACATTTCACCAAAATTATTCAACACACATGATCTTCAGAAAAATGGTGACATTGATGTGCAACAAATCCATTCAAGTGACAATCCAGCAGATTTATTCACTAAATCTTTGCCAAATTCAACTTTTGAGAAGATGGTATACAAGATTGGGATGCGGAGACTCAAATATTTGAAACAAGATTTTTATCAGGGGGAGTAAAATACGCGCTATACTCTTTTTTCCTTACTAAGGTTTTTCCCACACGGTTTTCCTTATAAGGTTTTTAATGAGACAACTAATTATGCGTATTACTAAATATGTGTACTCTTTTTCCTTCATTAGGATTTTTTCCACGGGGTTTTTGCTAATAAGGTTTTAATGAGGTACATAATCTTTTAATGAACATCCAAGGAGGAGTGTTATAAATATATTATATTATGGATGTTCATTTAGTACTCCATTGTAAATAAGCTTCCTGAAGAAGCTTATCTATATGAGACTCCGCCGTAAATATGATTATCTATTTAGTACTCTATTGAAAATAAGTCTCATAAAAAAGTTTATCCTTTCGGTACCCCGTTATGGATAAACATCACCCCCGATAGAAGATTATCCATATCTGGTACAATGAGTTTATCCTTTCAGTACCCCATTATGGATAAACATCACCCCCGGTAGAAGATTATCCATATCTGGTACAATGAGTTTATCCTTTCAGTACCCCATTATGGATAAACATCACCCCCGGTAGAAGATTATCCATATCTGGTACAATGAGTTTATCCTTTCAGTACCCCATTATGGATAAACATCACCCCCGGTAGAAGATTATCCATATCTGGTACAATGAGCTTATCTTTTCAGTACCCCGTTATAGATAAACATCTCTCCCGGTAGAAGATTATCTATATCTGGTACAATTAGCTTATCCTTTCAGTACCCCGTTATGGATAAACATCACACCCGGTAGAAGATTATTTATATCTGGTTCAATGAGCTTATCCTTTCAGTACCCCGTTATGGATAAACATCACATCCGGTAGAAAATTATTTATATCTGGTTCAATGAGCTTATCCTTTCAGTACCCCGTTATGGATAAACATCACATCCGGTAGAAAATTATTTATATCTGGTACAATGAGCTTATTCTTTCGGTACCCCGTTACGGATAAATATTACTCCCGGTAGAAGATTATCTATATCTGGTATAATGAGCTTATCTTTTCGGCACTCTGTTATGGATAAACATTACCCCCGGTAGAAGATTATATATATCTGGTACAGTAGCAGCTTACACAGCAGCTTGCAGAAGCAACTTACACAACAACTTGCTTTCTTCTATAAATAGAGGAGATTTCTATTCATTATATATATAAGTTCGAAGTTTGAATAATATATCAATTTCTCTCTATATTTGTCTTTAATTTACTATCATTATTTTATAACATAGCTCAAAAGCTGTATTTTTAACCCCTTGTTTATTACACGGTTCTAACAAAATTTAACAAATAGAGTTTGTTAAATAGTTGATAAAGATCAATAATAGAACTATTTTGACTCCACTATTTTCTCACATAAAGTTAATACCACTCTAAATGGCATGTAGCTCATCTAAAATAAAATATTTAGAAGAATTAACCTAATTCCAGGAAAAAAAGTTGAAGGGTATAATATATATAACCGTATATAATTTATGTATATCGAATAGAAAAAAAAAATCAATTTGATTCCTAAAAAGTATACTTTCATGCTTTCAAATGGTAAGCGGCTGGTTAAGATGAGCTTAGCCATAGCCCCAAAACAGAAAGATTTATCCTATAGTGACGGATAGGGCAGTCATCCCTCTTATTTTAAAATTTTAAGAAATTAAATATAAAAAAATTTGTTATATAAATCAAATATATGTAAAGTATCCAAATAATCTTCTTCTTATGAGTAATAAAAAGAGAGTTTCACGTATCATTTCCTTTTCTCTCTCCTTGAAAGAATACCAGCTTATATTAAGTGAATCCTAACAAGTAATGTCATTTTCGCTCTCCTTGAAATTGGTAAGCATCAAGTTCACTATGTTGGAATATTAAGGGAGATTTTAGTCTCAAATGTTTTGCGGCAGAATAGCTTGGTACAAACTTGTATTTCATTCTGGTCCCTATACACAATAAAATTTCATCCAGACACTTATAGTTATTCAAAATCAATGTTTTAAACCACTCTGACTATTGACCAAGACTGTGTGGCAATTTAATGGCTGAACTGGACAAAGTTCGTGTATTTCACGCGTATAAGGAGCGTAAATATAAGCATTTAAATAAAAAATAATTAAAAAAAAAGGAAAAGAAAATACAACAACATAAATTAAAAAAGAAAGAAAGGTCATCACTCCTCCACGTTCTGCCCCTTCTACCCCATTTTTCACTCTCCTTCTTCCTTCTTCACGTTATCCCCCTCCTCCATTTAACCTAAAACTCACTACTATATAGCCCTCCTCCAGCACCTCTTTATCCACTAGTAACATCCCTTACCACCACAGATCTGAAACCACCGCCAAATTGATAGTAATTTTTGGAAAAATTTCTTTCCCACATCCTTATTCCCCAACTTTTGAAGATGAGCCTTTGCAAAGAAAAACAAAACAAAAATAGTGAAAGAAGATCGTCGGCGAAACCTGTTTCCGTTAAATTTTCTGGTAGCAAAATTTTAAAAAGTTTTGGGTGAAGTTTTTGGTGATGATGGTCGTTTGGTTGGTTTCTGATAGCAAGTTCTTTTTGGTGGTTGATTGGTGGTGCTATAGTGAAGTGTTGGCTGTGAAGAAGCTTTCTCGGTGAAGGGTGATCAGAGACGGGCCGTAGGTGTTGATGGTTACACGATTTTTAAGATATGTGGTTAATTGCAGAAAAAATGATGAATTTATTCTCTTGATTATATGTATTGTAAAATTGTTACTTGTGGGTTGTTTCGAAGGTATTGGTAAATGTGCGGGGAATGGTAGAGAATAAAGATGTGAAGGAGGAAGAAGGTGGAATGAAAAATAAAAATTAAAAGTATTAAAATAATGTGAAAATAAATTAATAATGATGTGTTACAGAAAATGTGACGTGGACATTGATGTGTTATCCATGTCAGGGATTTGAAGAACATGCGAGACGAGAGGGGTTTAAAACACTGACTTTGAATAACTATAAGTGCTTGGATGAAATTTCGTTGAGTACAGGGACCGTGATGACAAACGCGAACAAGTACAAGTGTCTACCAAGCTATTCTGCCATGTTTTGCAGCTCTAACTTGGCTGTTTGTGAAGAACGTTTGGTAAAGTCCAACAGCAAAATGGAGAAGTAAAGGTCCATGCAATATTGAGATCTATAAAGACTAAGCTCCCGTTTGCCAATAGATTTTGGCTTCATTCCCAAAAATTAGTTTAGGACAGTTTTTGGGTGAAAATTTTCTTCCATTCAGAAAACTTCAACTTTTGTTCAAATAAAATGCATGTCCAACACAACTTCAACTTTCAAAAATTATTTTTCAACACAAATTCAAAAACTCTTTTTTCTAGTTTCACTTAAATATATGTCAAAACGCTAGCTAAGAATCATATAGTTAACTCACTACCGATACTATTTAGGCAGAATGACTTTCTAGTCACTTAAACTTGTAGAGTTTTTAAAAATCGATACATGAACTTTCAACTTTCCCATTTGAACACTCGAACTCATTTTTTCGGTAACTAATAAACACATTTGACCATTGACCATGCCCATGTGGCATCAGTTGGTTCTAATCGGCAGGCTGCGTGAGGAACACGACGCACAGGAGCGTGAAAGCCCCCTTCCCAACGCCCAACAGTATAAAATGGGTTGTATTTAAGTGTCTTCTTCTAAAATATCCTATTCCTCCATTTTTAAAAATCTGAAGCTCCATTCCTACATTTTGTAAAATCTAAAGCTCCATTTCTAATTTTTTTCCTTTTTCAAACTGTGAAAATGATGGAATCGAAAAGAGACAAACAAACCTTCAGATCGTATAACGTCACTAGAGTCGAAAGCACGGGCCAAACAAAGATCGATCAAAACAAGATTAATTAACATATAATAAACGAAAACAAAAAAATGGGTGAGTGATTATGACCGATTTTGAAAGGGGTGAGTGATTGTTAGCCTATTGGTAACCTAGGTTTAACATGGGAGAATTTTGTTAGAGAGGTTAAAATGAGGGAAAGGGTGTCAGTCTATGGAATAAAAGAGAGAACCCTGGTCTGTTGGGTTAGGGTTTTCACAGCCTTACACGTAAGACATCCATTGGTCATTTGCTGATTGGATAGACACACATGTGTATGCTTAATACGCACGCGCATGGTCAATGGTCAAATGTGTTTATTAGTTACCAGAAAAATGAATTCGAGTGCTCAAATGAGAAAGTTGAAAGTTTACGTATCGGCTTTTAAAAACTTTACAAGTTTAAGTGGCCAGGAAGCTATTCGCCTACTATTTAATTAGTTCTGAAACAACATCAGAAAATACGTTAAGATAATGAATTTCACATTCCTATAGGGAAAGTAGAAGAGATCAAAATGATATACACAAGAATAAACCTATTTCAACTACTAATCCTGTTTGGGAGCGCACCTATTGATCTTCCGAATGCCCCGAAAACTAGACGTTATCTACAACACAAAAATAATAGATGAGAACTCATCTAAAACTGCTGGGACATTCGAAACTAACTCATCAACTTTATAAATAAAAGAATCTCATTTTGGGAACCCAACTGTGATCATTTGCCTTGCTGCATTTCCTTCATCGAAAAATCAAAACCTGTCTCTATTCTTGACTTGGAATATCAAATATTACCAATGCTGGCAGCTACATCTTGATGTTGTAGAACAATGCTGATCACGTGACAAGTAACCTCTCAAACACTCATTCAGAAGGCCTAAGAAACTTCCTTCCACGTAAAATTCATTTCCTCATGTACTCAGGAATGAGGCGTTGTCTCAGTTCAGTAGATGCACCAGAAAGCTCTGCATGAAGCTTACTCCAGTCAGACAGGCCATAGTAACTAAAATGGTAAAGTTCTTTTTATAAAAGAAAAGAAAAAACTCAGCGCAACCTTGGGGTGTAAAATTGAATAGAGGTGGCAACGGTCGCCCATTTGGCAAGCAAGCATTTGGTTCCCTCAGAGCATTGAAGAAAGGGTGTGCACATGCCTCCAACTGAAAATGAATAGAAAGTTTATGACTCATTCAAGATGCCTCTTGATCTCAAATCCCAAAAGGAGTCTACAAGCATAGTTCTAACATATTACTAGTAAAATGTGATCACCCTCAGTAGGCTTCATAAACTTGATATTATCCAGTATCCACAAGATTAACCGAGCTGCGTGTTTTCTCATTAACTATTTGCGAGCTCTATACTAACAGCAGGAAAAGGCTAAGTCATTCACTTACAGCAGTACAACGTAGAGTTGGAGAATACTGGAGCAGTCTTGATGCCAAATCTACTGCTTCAGGAGGTATTCTTCTATTAAATATCTGCAAATAAAATTTTATTCAGATCTGATCTGTGCCTCAGCCTGCGAATGAGTGCACTTGAAATGGACGGCGGGTCAAAGAATTTCATCAAGGAAAGAAGAAAAAGAACGTAAGATAAAGAGATACATATACTTAATAAATTCTCACAAACCTTATGCCATGGGTGAGCTTTCATTTGAGGAAACTTGAACTCTTTATAGTTTGGATTCATGCGCCTAATTTCCTCTCTAGTTGGTGTCCCCAAAATCTAGCATGGATCAAGTACATAACGACGATAAGCAAGGGAATGAAACTCAATCAACACTGCTTAAAACCATGGGGCATTAAAAACTAGTGTCCCGTAACTGCATACCTTGATGATCTCCGCCAGCTGATCGACGCCACTTTCTCCAGGGAAAAGAGGCTAAACATAATGCAACATTCAATACATCAGACTAACTACTTATAGCAGAGTAAATCAAAATATGACGCTCACAAGAAAACTTTTCTAAAACATTTATGGACAAGGTCCTCCAAATGGGGAGCATAACTAACAACTAGGGACAGATTTTGGAACTAGTTGCAACCACTGAGATATAAACGTCGATATAAGAGGGATAATAGAAACCAACTCTTAGTGCAGGTGTGAAAAAAAACTACCAACTTTCGATAGCCACATCAGAAAGAGTGGCCACAATCGCACCGTGAAGACCTCACCTGTCCCAAAAGTAGCTCAGCGAAAACGCAACCAGCTGACCAGATATCAATTGCATTTGTGTATTCTGTAGCCCCAAAGATCAATTCAGGCGCCCTATAATACCGAGAACAAATGTAGGATATATTGGGCTCCCCAGGCACCTATGGTAAGAGGACAATAATCTGAGTAGAGATGCAAACACATAGGAAAACATAGTTCTCAAAAAAACAACACATACCAACATCTTTGCACTTCCAAAGTCACAAATCTTTAACTGATGGGTGTGGGGATTAACCTGTAGCAGTAATTAAAAGAATAATACGACAAATAGTTAGAACTGAGGCAAGAAGAATGACGGGAGAGGAAAAAGCAATTATGTCAGATAACCAGCAAAATGGAAGAGCTATGAACACCTAAAAGCAAGGAGCATAACCAGCAGATCTTACCAAAAGATTCTGAGGTTTAATATCACGGTGACATACGCCAGTTACGTTGTGCATGTAATTCAGAGCCCGACATAGCTGCACAATTTTAATTATGAGAAAAATAATCAAGTTGTAGCTTCTGAAGTGTCAAGCTAATTCACAATATCAATTTGCTGAAAGTCCGGAACCATGACAGGAAAAAGGAAGAATACAGCAAATGCTCACCTGGTACGTGTACAGTTGAACATATATGATGGGCATGTGATGGTTCACTCGGCTGTAGTGCCTTGAAACTCGGTAAACAGTTTCAGACATATACTCCAAAACAAGGTTAAGGTAAACCTCATTCTTCTCAGTAGTAGAATAGAAACAGTGTCTCAAGTGAACAACATTAGGATGATCAAGCATGCGCACAATCTGTAGTTCCCTGTTCTTGTATCTCCTATCCTGTAAAACCTTCTTTATTGCGACAGATTCACCTGTTTCAAGGCACTTAGCCTAAGAAATACGAAAAATATGAAGAAATTAGCAAAAGTCAAGCACAGCCACCCAGGAGACATCAATGCTTTCAATAACCACCTAATCATTCCTAAAAGCACTAACTTTACCTGAAATACAACTCCAAATGAACCCGTACCCACCACACGTTCAGCCATGTAAGACAGCGTCTGGGATAATAACATGAAAGTCATTTATTGATTAAGCTCAAACAGATAATAACACACAAGCTGTCACATCTACGTTTGTTCAATTATGAACATGAACTCACCTTTTTCTGCCGTCCATTTCGACCACTCAAAGTAGTCACGATTATCTGACCCGTTTCTGTTCCATTACCACTAACAACAGCAGGCTCCATATCCTATTTTTCAGTAACATTTTAGAAATCACAAGGCTTCTTCATACACAAAAAGCATCAAGATTTTTATATCAAAAACCCGAATTGGCATAAATAAGAAGGTACCTTTATGTCATCCTCGTGTCCATTAGTCTTTTCGTCTCTAATTTTCATTTCATTCATTTCCTTTGGAAGCTCCTCATATCTAGATTTTTCTGGTCTAGTATCAACATTCAATGTACATACAGTACTTTCCTCAGATGTAGAAGTCACATCCTGCTTAGGAGCTATAGTACATTGCTCTTCTAATTGAGTTTCACCATCGACCCTGTGATCTACTTCCTGCTCAACCGTTACTTTCTTTAGGCTAAAATCTCCACCCTATTAAATTTAAAGAAAATAATGAAAATTCATTTAAATCTCATCACGAGAAACAATAAAAACATGTTCAAATCTCAGCTGAGGCAAAAAAATACTAGGTAATTTTTTTCTATATGCTTTGGTGGATAAAATTACCGATACGAGGTGAAATCGAGTTGCACCCAAGCTAGCCCAACCAACACCGTTACATAAAAATAAATAAAATCCCATGATTTATCAAAAAATTATATTCATCTAACCTCGCAAACTATTAATCTGACAGAGAAATTATAACAAAAGAATTACAAAGTATTTGTATGAGATTGCTTCTATCACTACCAAGCCAAACTTATAGCTTTTTCTCCCCAAAAAATCTAAGCAAACAAATCATATACAGACCAACAAAAAAAAGGTAAACAACAAATTTAATTCATAAGGAAGAAAATTACAGGATCCGAAACGGAAGATCGACCAGAAGCAATGCTCTTGAGGCGTCGCATCACATTCATATCTTTTCTTCTTTTTTCACAGAATTCAAATCCTAAGCAGAAATTGAAATTAAAAATGACAAAAAGGAATCGTTGCTCCTCCTCTCTCTTTCCTTCATCAGAAACAAAATGTTTCTGAAATTTTCCTTCAGTTGAAGAAGAAAAAGAGAGAAGGCTAAGAACAATGAATCGAAATGCAGGAAAAAAAATTGATGTAATAATAAAGCTCTTTTTTTGTTTCCTTTCTGCGTTCAACAAAAAGGAGATAAAAGGGAAGAGAAATTGAAAACGAAATTGCTCTGACCAAAGCAAATTAAAGAAAAATCTAAAATGTATCCTTTTCTACTTTCTTTTCTCTCTTATAAATATTTTCAAATCAACCGGTCAAAGTCATCCCGTAATTTATACTTTCAGTCAAACTTTGATTTTGGATTTGGTGATAAAATGACGATAATGGGCTTCAAATGAGGAGGAATTACAAGCGGCGTGGGATTTTCGGATTCAGGCAATAATTGTGCCAGCGGAATATCCGGATGGGCTTTTTGGTCAAACCATTTGACTGGACTCATTAGATTTTCGTAAACCAGGTATTTGATAATTAAATAAAGGAACAATCCTATTTATATAATTTTTTATTTTTTATTATAATATAAGCCACCTAGTACGAATGCCTAGGTAGGGAATTTATCTGCAGAAAATATTTTAGTATTAAGAAACAACTAAGAAGGAAAAGAAAATTAGTGCACTATAGACGTCACATCACACTGATGGTAATATTATATTTATTTCATTGTTAATTCCGTTCAAACTTAAAAATATGTGTTGACGATTTGTGAATTTATTAGAGGAAGTGTGACAGATTTGAACAATCAAACTCATATTTCAGCTGTTAATCTTTGAAAAAAAATACCAATGTACCTGTATAAAAGTTAACATCAGAAAACGATGATTAGTATACAGTATACACCCGCGCTGTTTCAGTAGACTCGTCAGAGGACGAATCTATTATTTAAATTGTATGATTTCAATCTCAATTTTTTAGCATTAAACTCATTATATATTTAAAATTATACATTCATATTTACTATTTATTATAATTTTAATGAAGTTTTACAAATAAATTATGCTCAACGTTAAAAGTATTGGGTTTAAATGAATCCGATAATAATATAAGACTAGCTACGCCCTCGTACCTACTATCTCCTACCAACACAATTACTACTGATTAACTTTATCCATCAAGGCTTATAACCTGTTTGGTCAAGCTTCTCAAGAGGCCAAAAGTATTTTTTTTTTCTCAAAAGCACTTTTTTTTCCCTAACTTGAAGTGTTTGATCAAGCCTTTTGGGGAAAAAGGAGTGTTTTTGGGAAGAAGCAGAAGCAGAAAAAAATAGTTTGCTCCTAAAAGCAGAAGCAGTTTTGACTTTTCTTCTTACCAAAAATGTCGTTAACAAAATATAGTATATATCAAAATAACCGTTAAACCTAATACTTAGGATATTAATGTATAAATATTTCTTATTATTTTTAGGATAGCTTTCTAATATATAGTAATTTTAGGGATGAATGTTTTTATATTTGTTGAATGATTTTTAATATATTTAACTTATATTAAAAGAATTAATTACTTTTAAATTTTATTTTCATATTTTACTTAAATAAAATGAAAAGATTTAATTATTGCATGTAATAACAAATTTTTAAGATTATTCATTTACTTATAATATTAACTATTAAGTAAATCTATTCATGTCCTTATTCGTAATTTGATACTTAAAAGTACTTTTTGAAAAACTTGGCCAAATACAAATTATTGCTCAAAAGTGCTTTTTAGAGTGATTAGTCAAACACAAACTACTTCTCTCCAAAAGTACTTTTTTCAAAAGCACTTTTGAAAAAAATAATTCTCAAAATAAGTTAATTTCTCCAGTTTGGCCAAACAGGCTATTAGGCAGATGAAAAGATTGATCTTTCGAACTTCTCAAATAAGATAAAGATATCAGAGCTCACTTGAAATGGAAGTAACTACTCAACGAAAATAACTATAACCATAGAAAGTAGACCATTATATTACAGCAATTAGTTAACCATTATTGTGTTTTTTCCAAAGAAGTTTGTGAATTAGTATTCCTTTCGTGCAGTTGGCTCTAAAACTTAGCTCAAACTCATTTCCTCCCTTCCCCACCCCTCTACTTGGTGTTCTTCAAACCAAATAAAATTGAAGAATAATGTAAGACATTTGTGACAATAGTCATTGGAGAGGGCTGGAATTTAATACTTAGATGGATTCTTTTTTCAGTCAACTAAAATAATCTACTGGCTGGTCTCAGTAGATGGTTCCCTAGGGACCAAATAATGCATGTAATGATTCTAAAGAAAATAGCGTTTGCGCCTTTTTTGTTAGTCCAATCTACGAGTCTGGATTAGGGGCATCATTTTCTTCTTATTTGAAATCTTTTGTTGCTCATGAATTTGCTACACTAATCCATGAAGCAATAACAGAAAGATATATGTCAAGCATACAAGCATGCATATCTCCACCTTACTTTAAGAATTAGAGCAACGTTCGTAAACAACACCTCCCAATCAAGGTAGTTGGCGGCAGTCTGATCTCATAAGTAGTAGAAATCAGGATGGAAACTGTACATTCTAAATAAGGTATATTTTTTAGCCTGTATTGGCTAGAAATGGCGATCCCTGAGAGCACTGTGAATGAATTTGATTTCAGTCCAGATATGATGCCATATGTGATCAGAGCAACCCTTAGTGTATGTGAAAGAAAGAAAAGAAGACAAACCCATATGAGTAAAATGAAAAAGTCAAAGAAAGAGAAGAAAAAGATATGTGAAAAAGACAGAGAAAAAAAGGTCGGCAGAATGAAAAGACTGCAAAATGTAAATGCATTAAATTCGTTTACAATTGCGGTGTCGTCGTGTCACATGTTCATATCTTGCTGAAAATTTCAGCCGATTCCTCTGCATATAAATAGGCATTCCATTCTTCAGTTGAAATCATCCCTCAACTTCTTCTTTCTCTTCAATTAATAAAGAACTATTCTTTGTGTGGTCGTATAGTAGGCAAAAATTACCGAACCACGTAAATCTTTTCTTATCTTGTGCAATTTATTGCTTCTCTTTTAAATATTTTTTCCCTTCTATTAGCCTCACACGCATCCCAACAACTGGCATCAGAGTACAAATAATATAATTCAGGTAGAAAAAATATAGTGTTGGTGAAATTTACTATTCATAGGAATAGTGCAAGACTACTGGTCACTATTCATAATAGTAAAGTACTACTCATAAATAGTAAGTACTGTTCACAAAATAGTAAAGGCACTATTCATTTTTTGTGTGCAAAATGACGTCGGAAGAAGAAAAAATGAAGATTGACAAGTTCAATGGCAAAGATTTTGGATTCTGAAAAATACAAATAGATGAGTATTTGTACTAGAAAAAATTACACTTACCACTGATCGGGGTAAAACCAGAGAATATGGCCAAAACGGATTGGGATCTATTAGATCGCCAAGCTCTTGGGGTGATTCGTTTGATGCTAACACGAAATGTATTATTTAACATCATTAACGAGAAGACCACTGCAGGCCTCATGAAGGCATTATCAAATATATACGAGAAACCATCTGCTTCAAATAACGTCTATTTGATACGTCGATTGTTCAACTTAAAGATAACAGAAAGTGGATCTGTTACGGAACATATCAATGAGTTTAATGTAATAATAACTCAGTTGAGTTCTGTTAATATAACATTCGATGACGAAGTCAGGACATTGATTCTACTATCATCTCTACCGGAGAGTTGGTCTGCAACAGTAACTATAGTTAGTATTTCATCGGGAAGTACCAAACTCAAATTGGATGATATTAGAGACTTGGTTCTAAGCGAAAATATTAGCCTAAGAGAATCGAGTGATTCCCCAAGATCTGCTTTTAATACCAAAAGTAGGAGGAGAAACAGCCAAAGAGGACAAAGTCATGATCGTAGCAGATCAAAGTCAAGGAGAAGAGGGCAATCGAAAAACCGCAAAGACATTACTTATTGGAATTCCAATAAAAAGGGTCACTACAGTATTCAATGTAGAGAGCCAAAGAAGAAGAAGAACGATCAATACAAGGATGATAATTCAGCAAATGCAATTGCTGAACAAATCGGTAATGCACTAATTTGCTGTGCAGATAGTCTGATCGAATCTTGAATTCTGGGATCAGGAGCATCCTTTCATTCTACCGCATGCAAAGAATTATTGCATAATTATATTGCTGAAAATTTTGGGAAGGTTTATCTAGCAGCCGACGAACCCCTGGATATTGTCGGGAAAGGTGAAGTTCATATAAAGACTTCACAAGGGACGCTATGAAAATTGTAAAATGTCCGACATGTTCCTGGCCTCAAGAAAAATTTGATATATATGGGTCAGTTTGACAGTGAAGGATACACAATGGTATTCGGTAATGGATCATGGAAAAATTTGGTTGTGGCACGAGGCTTCAAGAAGGGAACATTGTATGCAACTGCAATACAAAGAGATACTATAACAATAGTTGATCATGGTCGTGATACAACATTGTGGCACCGACGACTCGGGCATATGAATGAGAAGGAAATGAAGTCGTTGGCATCCAAAGAAAAGTTGTCAAACCTAAAGCATGTTGAATTAGGTTTGTGCGAAGATTGCATTTACGAGAAACAAAAGAGAGTTAGTTTCTCAAAGGCGGAAAGGACGCCAAAGAAAGAGAAGCTGGAACTAATGCATACAGATGTGTGCGGCCAGCTCCTGAAACTTTTCTGGGAGGCTCACACTATTATGTCACCTTCATTGATGATTCTACAAGAAAGGTGTGAGTTTATTTTCTAAAAAATAAATCTAATGTGTTTGTTACCTCTAAAAGATGAAAAGCTGAAGTTGAAAATCAAACAAGTCTAAAGTTAAAATATTTGAAGTCTGATAATGGGGGAGAGTATAGTCAAGAGTTTAAAGCATGGAACAAAATGGTGTTGCTGAGAGGATGAACATAACCCTGAATGAACGAGCCAGAAGTATGATAATACATTCTGGATTGCCGAAGTTTTTTTGGGCCGAGGCTGTTTACACGACAGCTTGCCTCATAAACAAGGGACCCTCTGTACCGTTGAATTTTGAAATTTATGAGGAGGTATAGATTGGAAAAGAGGTAACTCTCTCACATCTGAAAATTTTTGATTGTGTTGCTTATGTGCATGTAAACTATAATGATAGAGATAAGCTAGATCATAAAGCCAAAAAATATTTTTTTATTGGTTATGATGATGATAATTTTGGTTA